TACATACATACATACATTACATACATACATACATTACAGTACATTACATTACATTACATACATACGTTACAATTACATACATACATTACATACATACATACACGAATTGCATACATACATACATACAAACATACATACATACATGACATGACATTGCATTACATTACATACGTACATTCATACATACATTCATACATACATACAGACATACGTACATACATAATACATACATACATTACATACATTACATTAGATTACATTACAGTCCATTACAATACATTAGATTATGTTACATTACACTACATACACACATATATAGTTAATGATCCTGCACCTCTTCATAAAACACTGTAAAATACAGTGTTCTTTTGAGCATTACACCTACCATTGTTTACCTCCTGGAAAAGGGTCAACATGAGCATAGCTGACATGAGCCAAACCAACCGCTCACCCAAAGGCACTTGACAGTTTGCCTAACTAACAACATGAAAGTGCTTCCACTGGATCGCTAAGCACTTGAACGTATTTTACTACTGGATGGAAGCTTCAAGCTTGAAGATTACACAGAAACATATCCTGAGAATTGTCAATCCTGGTTAAACCCAAAAAACATTCAAGTCCTTCTAACACTTGAAAGTGCTTTACCTCTGGATTGAGGGTTCAATATTGAGGATTGCACAAACAACAACTTTCCTGAGAATCATCCATCCTGGACACCCCTAAAAACGTTCAAGGTTTGAAATGTTTCAAAAACTCTGGGTTTCAAAAGCTCTAGATTCCCAGAAATAAAAAAAAAAATAAAAATAAAAAAAAAAAAACAAAAACAAAAAAAAAAAAAAAAAAAAAAAAACAAAAAAAAAAAAAAAAAAAAAAAAAAAAAAAAAAAAAATAGAAAAAAATAAACAAAAAAAAAAAAAAAAAAAAAAATAAAAAAAACATAAATAAAAAATTAAAAAAAATAAAACCAAAAAATCAAAATAAAAAAAAAAATAAAATAATAAAAAATAAAAAATAAAAAAAAAAATAAATATATTCAAAAAAAAAATAAATAAAAAAAAAAATAATAAATATAAAAAATAAAAAAAAAAAAATAAAAAATTAAAATTAAATAAAAAAAAAATATTAAAAAATAAAAAAAAAATAAAAAGAAACATGTACATATGCCCCCCTGACTTTGACACAAAATCCAAGAAGCAACACAAGGCATAAAACACTGGAAAAAAGTCGAACGCACCAAACCAGGGTCCATGGGGGGATACCATATATTAATATATATATATATATATATATTATAGAAACATACTTGGCAGAGACCTGTGTAGCATAGAATTTATATGTATAAATATATATATATATATATATATGTATACATATATATTATGCATGCATGTGTTTGTGTGTGTGTGTGTGCGCGTGTGTGTGCGTGTGTGGGCGTGTGGGTGTGTGTCTGTGTGTGGAGGGGTGTGCGTGCGCGCGTGTGCGCGTGCGCGTGCGTGTGGGTGCGTTTGTGTGTATTTTTTCGCGCTCGTGCTTGTGCTTGCCTGCGCGTTTGAGGATACCCTGCTTTGGGGATAGTTAAACCAAAAGGCAGCGGACTCATCTGATAGATAGGTGCTACTACTCTGATCATGTGCAAGCTGGAACCTGCTTTTTAGGGCCCCTGACTCAAGGCACTCCGGGCTTACAAGTAAACCACAAGCCTGGCATTGCATAACAAAGATGCAACATGGCACAAACCCAGCATAGTCAGCCAATTGCCCTCCCTCCAATAATCATGGAAGCTGACAGGAGGGGTTTGGAAGACTACCCTCGTTTTGGGGGATGCCCGCCCCTGTCTACTTCCATGGTTCTTGGAAAAAGGGTACAGATTCAAGCGAGGTGGTTTGCAGTCCGCGGGTCGCAACATTTCGGCAGAGCCATGGCCAACGCAAGCATCGTGCCAGGCATAAGTTCTCACCTCACAAATTTATGACTCTCCGAGTTGAACCGGGAATGCCGATTGCAGTTCCAGTCATTTGACAATTGAATTCTGTGTGTCCAGTTGTGTACAGAACTGACTTCTGGCTGCTATGCGATGTGAAACATCTCGAATGCCAGCTGGCAGGTCTTTAACATCTTAACCGCGATTGACTTATCGACTCTCACAGTATCTCCAGTCAAAGTGTGTGGGTTTGTCTTTAAATGAAGGACCCCCCAAAATGCTTGGCTTCCCTATGAAACTGGCCAACAGGGGGTTCCTGGAAGAAAAAAAACATGCGCAGCAAAGCTTGCATCAGAAATCACACACCGCACTCTCAGGAAACCAGCCTTTTGCCTGGAGCGCAACATGGTCTGGCCAGATAGGAATTCACAAGTCACCGTGCCAAAGCATACTCATGCAGACTTGAATGTTCTTCAATTCCGCACCGTCCCTGCAAATCCGCCGACATTGCTCGGCGTGTCGGATACTTACTAGAGGATAGAGGATAACCCCCCCCCCTAACCCCCCCCCCGCCCGACGTCTATTACGTAGGTTTTTGGGGGGGGGGGGGGTCCCCCACGTACCGCGCGGCAATTTGATGACGTTCCACTAAACGTAGTCTTCGGGGAGCCGGTGTCGCAAAACAGGGGTCCCAGGCTCGATTCCCCCTGCCGGCTTTTTTGCTGGCTTGGGCTTCCTGCATCCTTTTGCCGAAAATCTGGAAAAACTCAATGTTTTTGGACGTCCTCTTTGCGAAAACGCTGGAAAAACCGTGTTTTTTTGCGGGAAATACTGGGGAGCAAAGGGGAAGTGCAAGGATACATACATACATACATACATACATACATACAGTACATTACATTACATTACATTACATGACATTACATGACATTACATACATACATTTACATACATACATACATGCATACATGTATGTAAGCATGCATGCATGCATGCATGCATGCACACATACATACATACGTACATACATTACATGCATTACATTACTTACTTACTTACTTACTTACTTACTTACTTACTTACTTACTTACTTACTTACTTACTTACTTACTTACTTACTTTACATTACATACAACATACATGCATCACATACATACATACATACATACATACATACATACATACATACATACATACATACATACATACATACATACATACATACATACATACATAACATACATACATACATACATACATACATACATACATACATACATACATACATACATTACATACATACCATACATACATACATACATACATACATACATACATTACATACATACATACATACATACATACATACATACATACATACATACATACATACATACATACATACATTACATTACATACATACATACATACATACATACATACATACATACATACATACATACATACACATACATACATACATACATACATACATACATACATACATACATACATACATACATACATACATACATACATACATACATACATACATACATACATACATACATACATACATACATACATACACATACATACATACATACATACATACATACATTACATACATACATACATACATACATACATACATACATACATACATACATACATACATACATACATACATACATACATACATACATACATACATACATACATACATACATACATACATACATACATACATACATACATACATACATACATACATCATACATACATACATACATTACATACATACATACATACATACATACATACATACATACATACATACATACATACATACATACATACATACATACATACATACATACATACATACATACATACACATACATACATACATACATACATACATACATACATACATACATACATACATACATACATACATACATACATACATACATACATACATACATACATACATACATACATACATACATACATACATACATACATACATACATACATACATACATACATACATACATACATACATACATACATTACATACATACATACATACATACATACATACATACATACATACATACATACATACATACATACATACATACATACATACATACATACATACATACATACATACATACATACATACATACATACATACATACATACATACATACATACATACATACATACATACATACATACATACATACATACATACATACATACATACATACATACATACATACATACATACATACATACATACATACATACATACATACATACATACATACATACATACATTACATACATACATACATACATACATACATACATACATACATACATACATACATACATACATACATACATACATACATACATACATACATACATACATACATACATACATACATTACATTACATTACATTACATACATACATACATACATACATACATACATACATACATACATACACATACATACATACATACATACATACATACATACATACATACATACATACATACATACATACATACATACATACATACATACATACATACATACATACATACATACATACATACATACATACATACATACATACATACATACATACATACATACATACATACATACATACATACATACATACATACATACATACATACATACATACATACATACATACATACATAGATACATATGTACATGCATGCATACGTATGAGAGAGGGAGAGTGGGGAGAGAGAGGCTTGGGGGGATGGGGAGGATGGGAGCAGAGGGAGGGAGAGAGGACGACAGAACACACAAGGGAGACAAGGAAGAGAGGAAGAAGGAGAAAAGGGAGAGGACAATGTCGGCGGACTGAGCCGGAGGCTCTAAAGTTAACCTGGAACGCAACAAACCGCCCCGAGGAAACTCCCTTGTGGGATCCCCCAATTGGGTTCCTTCGGCATTTTGCTTTTGCAATGGAGCCATTTTGTGGCCACATGAACGGAAAGCTTCTGGCGTCGCCCGCCGCCCGCCTCTGGCATACCCTGCAAAGGCGAGCTGCTCTGCAGAAGCCTGAAAAGCATCGCCCAGCTTTTGGTTTCTCAGCCCAAAGCGCCCGTGAGCCTTTCGGGGACACGACTGAAATGAACCAAAAGGATCTAGCAGGGGCAAACACAAAGGTCAAAGGGTCGGCTTTGACCAAATGAGCATTCCCCCATTCTCTGAAATCGTTTCATGTTGGCGGATGTGACGGCAACTCCACCGAGTATCACCAAGCACATCAAAGCAGCCACTTAGATTCATTGAACATTTTCTTGACTGAACGTATTGCTCCGAATAACTAATCGGACAGCATGCGTAATATTATGAGGTTCTGTGCAAACACTACCAGGCCGTGTGCTGCCATCGCGAGGGATTGCCCGGGAAATGTGCCTGCGGCCTGCGACAAACAACTTGTGCTGATTGTGTCACTCGAAGCCTCAAGCTATGCTTGACCCGGTCCCTACAACTTCACTATAGCTGCCATGTTGGCTTCTGAGCGCATATTTACTAGAAAAAACAAACCCATGCCGTGTGGACATCAAATCTAGTGCCTATTGGCATGGAATCTAAATTGTCATGACTGTGGCTTTAGACAATTGTTGCCTTGCCACCACAGTCTTACGTATCAGGGCGACACTGAAACATTGTGCGCCTTTAGGTAGCGTCACAGAAACAACGTCCTCTTTGCGCTGTGTGGCCATTTTCCTTTCTTCTGTGATGGTACCACCAGCACCTCCAGCCAATCCTACAGCAGACCAAGCTACATGCCGTGACAAGCACGTTTGACCAAACCTTGCCAGATCCATGTTGGTGCCTCCCGGAACACAGTGAGGATACTCAGATGTCCTCTGTCTGACGTCGAACAACTTTTTTGCAGATTTGTCATGGCAAATTCTAGAGGCTTGGGCCTACACTCAACATGATGTCTGCCCTGCTCGATCGCGCAAGACAAAGTCATTCCCTGCACCTTCATTTGAACACTTATTTTGGTTCGATGTGGTTTGTCACACTGTTTCTGGCCGACTGAACAAATATGGCCTGTTTGGGCTGAGTTGGAAAGAAACTGCCCGATTCTATGGAAAAGGGTCGTGGCTATCCTTGCAGGCTGTTGTTCTGTATGGACGGCCCGCAACTGGCTTGCAATGCGGGCGATGATGCTGTTTACCCTATTTGGACACTACTTCTGGATTGAAACCCTGGGGTTCGCCAGCTGACGAGGCAACTGAGCTCGTTCTGTCTGCTCCTGCAATTCTAGATTTGACCACATTTTTGGATTTGCGTCCGTTTGCGGGTTTTTGCGTCCGTTTTGGGTTTTTGCGCCCGATTTGCGGCCGTTTGTGGTCGCAAATTTGCGCAAAACGACAAATGGTCAGACCAAAGGTCAATTCTTGCCTCCAATTCCTGTCCGTGTGCTGGCTCCACTTCTTAACGGCACAAAATTCAGGATCTGCACCAAAGCTAGGTGGTGCCTAGACCCGCAGGCTCAGCTACCCCGAAAATGCTTCACAGGCAAGAAACGCACTCTTTTTTTTGAAACGTGTTCGTTTCTCGGAAAACTGCTCGATTCTGACAACGACCAGTTTTGAAGGCCGCTTCCAGAAAAAGTAGTCAATGTCCCAAATGAACCAAACTAAGTGACCACTTGACGCTGCAGGTCAAACAAAAAAAGGTCCTGGACGGAAAAAATTGGCCGGTTTGCCGCGCGTTGCACACTGGCTAGCAATGAGCTGTGAACCTGCACATTTTGATGAATCTACGCCACAACAAACCCCTGGTTTTTTGATCCGGAGGGGTTTATTAATCGGGGGGTCCCCTTTTAGTTGGGATTCATCACCCCCCCTATTAGTTGGACAGGTTTTTGACCGCGGGGTCCCCCTTACCAACACAATCATGCACGCAGAAACATCCTGACTGCAGTAGCTGAAGAGAAGCACCGATCACCGCTCCGGCTGTCAGCGGCTGTGGTGTGGCACATCTAACGACTTTTCGTGCAGACGATGCGAGTCCTAAGAAGCACTCCTGACACGATCCTATGACATCCCTTACTGTAGTGAAGCTTCATACCACAGCACCATGTTGTGCAAACGAGGTAATGTTGAACTGCAACTATGAAGAGCTTTGTTGTCATCTGTATCTCAAGGCAGGGCATGCTTGCCGGGTAGCTTTGACTCATCTCTGCAATTTTGCAGAGCTAAGTCGATCTCTTCCATCACCTCCTGGATCAACTGCAAAACCCAAACCCACAAAGTTCAGCTTGCCAAGCGCGTCAACAAGGAGTGTCTCAAATCCCTACTCCGCAACAAGAACCGGGGGGGGTTCCCTCCTATCCCCACTAAGACAAATCAATGTTTTTTTCTTCTTAGGGGGCCTTGGTGAGGATTAGCGGGACTCCTACGAATGTTTGGGCTCCTTTTGGCTCTCTGAGTAAGCCGAACGGGAGGGGGCCATGGCGTCCCCGATTTCCAGCAATTCCCAATGCAAATCAAACGCGTTGATCGTGAGAACACTAATGTCTTATACATGAGCACGCTACGCAGCAACTTGAACACAATTCAAACAAGTCCTTGGGCGGCAACGTGCCATGCAGCAGCAAGGGAAACCCTATCCACATGCAATGCATGCATAAGCGAAACACAAACAATTCATCCATTCTGGACAACTTAGTATAAGCAACAAAACGGGAAATACAAGCCCTAGGTAACGACGTTAATGGGCAAGATCAGTTCGCCAGGGAAGCTCCGCTATAATTTGATTTGACATGATCTTAGGGCCTCCCATGCTAAACATATGCACATAGCGCTTTCCAGCCGAAGCCATCGTGGCCCAATATGGAGTGGATAAAACAAGAACAACCCAACAAAGCAAAGCGGCAGCATAACAAATACACAAACACACACACACACACACACACACGTCACAAGACACAACAAAACACAAAACAACACAACACCACACATCACACAAAACATGAATCACACCCACACCACACATCACACAAAACATCACACCACAACACACCACAACACAACACAAGCAACCAAGCAACCAAGCAACCAAGCAACCAAGCAACCAAGCAACCAAGCAACCAAGCAACCAAGCAACCAAGCAACCAAGCAACCCAACCATCCAACCATCCAAGTAACCAACCAGCGCACACACAAGCACAAACACAAAAAAACACAAAAACACAAAAACACACAAACAAGCAAGCAAGCAAGCAAGCAAGCAAGAAAGCAAACAAAGAAGCCCACAAGCAAGAAAGAAAGAAAGAAAGAAAGAACGAAATAAAGAAAGAAATAAAGAAACAAAGAAAGAAATAACGAAATCACAAAATAACGAAATAAATAAACAAAAAAAACAAACACACACACAAAGAAACACAAGACCAAAGAAACACAACAAAGAAGCTGACAAACAAACAAATCTATTTACAAAACAACTACCCCCAACAGCAAAAAAAACATACGACAAGCACGACATATAAAGCGAGTTGAACCAAGCAAGCATGCAAACAAGCGAGGAATTAAGCAAGCAAGCAAACAAGCAAGCAAACAAGCAAGCAAACAATCAAGCAAACAAGCAAGCAAACAAGCAGGCAACCAAGCAAGCAAACAAGCAAGAAAGCACACAACCAAGCAAGCAAGCAAACCAAAACAAGCAAGCAAGCAAGCATGGAAGCAACAGACAAGCAAGCAAGTAAGCAAGCAAACAAGCAAGGAAGCAAACAAGCAAACATGCAAGGCATAAACCAAGCAAGCAAACGCTTGGCCTATGGCAGTCAGGATGAACCTGAAAAGGGCATCGTTCACAGTCCCCGAACCCTGTCCTTCAGTTGTTCCTCAGACAGCTCATGGTGCGTGGCTGCCTGGCGCGCATGGTCCGATGTCGACAGGACTGGTGGGTATTCCAGTTGGGCGTCCCCTTGTGGCTCCAAAAGTTGGCTTATCCATTTTCACATGTATATTATACTATATATGTATATGTATTGTAGCTATATGCAAAATATAGCTGGCTAAATAAAACAAATACAGCAACTTCAAAATAGGCGCAATGATGAACGAGCAATAAAATGGGGAACAACCCTAGGGGTGCATGCGCATTCACGCCGTGCGGACATTGCGCACGTCATGCGAGCAAAAGCACCACGAGAGTCACCTGAAACAGCCGTGACTAACTAGGCTCGAGATGCTTAGAGTTGGTTTCCCTTTCGTTTCCATTCAACATCCAACAAAAAGGGTACTCTCAAAAAGAGGTCCATATGCCACTGCCAAAAAAGGGGCCTCTTACTGCGTCACTCGCATCCGCACCGCCACTGCCTCTTCCTTCAATGATGCTAGGTCCTCAGAAGCGTAGCTCAGTGCCCATGGAGAAGTATGAGCTGTCCAATATCCCCGCCAACTTCTCCGCTCCTTGAATGGGGGGGCGAGTTGAATAGAGGGTAGGAAGCGATGATTTACGGAAGCCCAAAACAGCCAGCACCAGCCCAACAGCAACTCTCAAATACCAAGCAAACAAACAGCAATGATACCAGAACTGTATCAGCCCCGATAAGACAACAACAACGACAAAAGACAACAAACAAAGCTGAACATCAGCTACCAATGAAGCCACACAACAACTGACCCAAGCATCACTCAACCCAAACATCAACCAACCCGAATAAATACCCGCCACCAAAACAACAATCTGAGTACCAGCAAACCCAAACATGACGCAAACATCAACCAATCCCCAAAACCGCATTAAGTAACAAACAAACCAAACATCCAATCTAAACATCCGCCAGTCCGAAAGGCCCGAAAGCCAACGACCATACCGTCCACACCAACCGTCAACCAAACATCACCAACCCCAGAACCGTCCCCAATAATCTTCAACCAAGCCAAACATCAACCAAGCCAAACATCAACCAACCCAAACACAACCACGCCGCAGCCCCAAAAGAGCATCAACCAACCAACACAGCAACCTCAAACAACAAGCAACCCACATATCAACCAATCCAAAGACAAGCACCAACCCGAACGCCTAATCAGATAACAGCCTATTAAATCTGATCCAATCAACATATCGGTCCAAAGAACAAGTAATCGCAAAACCAGCTCAAACAACAACCAGCCCAAACGTCAACCAACCTAGACATCAGCCAACCCAAACATCATCCGATTCAGCCAACAAACAAAATCACAACGATCGCGCACATGCACAAACCCAAGAAGAACCCAAATGACACAACATCAACCAACAACAGGACGAGCCCAAATTCCAACCAAACCAAACATGGTCAGCTACCCAATAGCAACCCAACCATCAACCAACCCAAACTCTACAGCTCTTGGTGGCCAAAAAACCCATGTTTTTGTTTGCAGCCTACAAAACATGAACAGAACCAAGAAACCCAACCAACAAACACAAAACTTGCTCCAAGAACAGTGAAGCAAAACAACCGTTGCCTTACGCGGTGGCCGCATTCTGGGCACCCGACATGCTCGACGGCATCCACAAGCGCCGCCAGCTGACGGCGCTCCGACACCACTTGAGCCTTCGCTTTTTTCGCTCAGAGAGGCGAACCAAATCTTCCAGTTGCGGATACGCAGGGGGTCTTCTAGTTTGAGAAGCATTGACAGGGAATCACACAACTGTCGATTTATTCTCCTTTCCCAATTCCCACATCAGCCGCAAGCGAACTCAGCCGGTTCTCACACAAATTGTGTGCTAGAAGGACCCCTGCAAACAAACAAGGGTCTGCTCACTTGAGTGGATTGGCTCAAGCAAGTCGGAACTGTTGTTTGCCGCATTCCCAAGCACTCAGGAGAAAGGGACCATGGTAATGTTCAAAACCAGGAAAACTACTTGGGAACCCTGTTTTGAGGCTCGGCCCCGCTTCACCTGTAAAAGTCTCTAAAAGGAAGCCAAAAGGAAAACCACAATTTTGGAGTCCCCCTATTCTGGCGCATGCTCCCATGTTCACAGGGGAGTCATCAAACTCCCGCAAAATAAGGTAATGGGTCTAAGGGTTATAACTCGGTGCAATTCTATTTGCTTCGTTCACAACACGGAAATAGGGAATTCCCAAGAAAGGAAACCCCTCACTCTCAATTCTCGAACAATTAATGCGTATTTGGCCAAGGAAGCGCTTTTCCCTCATGGAATCCAGCTGCGTTAAGGTCGCTTTTGCTGGAGGATGTACCAGGCTTCTTCAGGAAAACAACCTCAGCAAACCTCCCCACCCCTGCCCCCCCCCCAGTCAATGCTGAAGCTGACGGCTCGCAAGGCAAGAACCAACATGTGGGTCTTTTTCTGAAGGCCTCTTTGAACGCCTCGTCCTTTAACATGGAACTTGGGGGGCAGGGGGCCACGGGATTTGTATCAACCCTTGTGTGTCTTTTAGATGGCTGTTTGCTTTGTCAAGAACCTGCTGTCTGGAGGACCACTTTGTGAAGAATTCAGAATAGTTCCATTTAGGGGATTGATGCGACTGGTAAGACTGGTATGTTCCTTTGGAAAATCCGGAATTCACACTAGAGGCCTTCCTCAATCACGAAACCTGCCACTGCATTGCGGGCAAATGAACCACAAGATCTGGACACACACACACACACACAGTTATGAGGGCCTTGTTGCTCCAAAAGGTTTCTTGGGGGGCAACAAAGGCGCGAGGCATTTGAAACCTGTTCATTACATATGGGTGAGGTCATGTTGCCACATGACGCTAAGATGAGGTGCATATTCCGGTTGCCTTGCTTGCAAACGACTGGAAGGCATCGTGGGATCCCAGGGGAACCACAACAAGTCACTGCATAATGATTTGCTGAAAAACAACATCTCGAATCCCGGAACTAAAGAACATGTCCAATCTGGACTTGGCCAAATCGCTTGCCCCGGTCGGTACTTGCCCGGTGGCTTGTTCTGCAAAAGGAATAATTTTTGGTAGGTTCAATGGAAAACCCACTGTTTCAATCAAAAAGACAAAGTCTAAAGATCCCTTACCCAATAGCAATCAATATTTATGGCGTGACATGGGGATTTTGGTGAACCTCCATTTCCTAGTGGCAATTGGGGCGACCTGCCATTCCCCCGACAGTCTGTGAATGTTGGTTCAAGCACTCCAAACTGCCCCCCTTCCGGCGCAACAACATGGGAGTTTCCATGTTTCATGGGGGGACCACAAAATGGAGTTCGGTTGTCCTTTCGGTTTTCCTTCTGGTTCTCCTTTAAACCACCAGACAAAGGTGTACCCTCCAAAAATATTGACTCACATGTGCCTTGCTCTCGGTGTCGGCGTGGCCTGATAGGGCCGAGGGGCTGAAAACTCGAAGCCTACAAACTCTGCTACGTACGGCTTCTCGGGGAATCAACAGGGGCTATTGGAATGGATAGGATTCTCTAGCCGTAAATCAAACCGCCAGTTGGAAGGTTCTGTTTGTCATTCCCGGCTCATTCTCTTCTTGGGACCGCCAAGTTACAACGGCGTCATGAATTTATCCCTCAGATTCCGGGAGGCAAACTTGGCGAAACTAGCCGTTCAATACCCTTCATGGAAGCGACACATAACATACCGTGCAGCATGCTTGTGGAAACCAACCCTTTCGGTGATGGATTCCCATTCCTTTGAAAAGGAATCTCTTGGTATCACATTGCGTTCCCACAACCCGGATTCCCAAGTACCGTGGTTGAAACGAAATGGGGCCCCTTTTGGGGCGTCATTCTTAAAAAATCACCAAGAGGGATTTGAGCCTGGTGGGAAATCACCCTTGTTATGCCAATTTTCGAATGACTACTTGCTCACTTTGAAAGCGATTCCCCACGGAAAGTCCGCTACATGCTCATTTGACTCCTCACATCCTGAGTTGTTTCCAGCAAAAGTAACCAAACTTTACATTTGCCACCGAAAAGGCCATACTGCGGATGGACGGAATCCTGCACCACTTTGAAACTACGGGAAACCATTGCTTGTTGGCATTTACAGGGGAATCCTCATGCCAGGGTTTCTTAGGTGGTGCAGGAATCCCGTCCATCCATGCCGAAAAGTGACGAAGGTCCGATTCCCGGAGCTCAAGTGAGTGACTTGTGGTGTCAGCTGAGCTGCGGACCCTCATGGCCACCTGCCGAGCGAAAATCGCACACTTCGTCCGCTTCGTGGGTGGGAAGCCAAATCGGGTCGGAGATGTTATGGCGAAAAGCCGGAAAACTTGTGGGTGAAATGAAAACCATCGCTAAACCAGCTGAAAACCAAAAAACAACTAAGGAATGGGATGGCTGGGAACCACCAAGAAAAAAACAGCATCCCGTGGAAACCACCCATGTGGGAACACGACTAAGAGAAGCAAGACTGGTGGGAACAAGAAGCAGGTGCAAAGAATTAAGAATTCTGGAACCAATCTGATGAGATTGAATTGAATTCAACACACTCTGCATCGATGCGATGGTCACCTACGCATTCACCAGACTTGGCCTACCCAGTTCCAGCCTTTTCAGCCAACACATTTCCCCATCTTTTTTGAGGGTACTATCGTGAGGTTCAAGGGAAACACATTTCTGGGCCAATTTCGATACATACCCACATAGCGCTACTCAACTTGTTGGCCTTGCAACTGATCCTAGTCTGTCGACTGTAGGACTCCTTCAATAATGCCGTCAGCCAACTCATGAGAGATGCGCTCTGAAACGAACAGACATTCAATCAGACCATGCCCCCCCTTCAGCACAAGACATGTGAATAACGGAACGTCATCTTCAGTCTGCGGCCTTGAAGCTGATCAAAATTTTCTCAAGGGACTTTCCTGATCCTCTCACGTGAGAAAACTGCTGACTTCCCTCTCAGGTTGGGCGCACATGTTCACAGCGCAAATACTACGGACTGCCTTCCAGAAAGCTGCTTGGATCCCATTCAGCTCGCATGCTGCCGTTGTGTTTTTCCTGCAGAAAGGCATGGTTCCGATGTTCAGCATCGTTGTGGGGTGTCACCCTTAGCCCCGCGTGATGTATTTGTCACTTTAAAGGGGGTTCGAGCTGGGCAAAATATGGTCGTCAAACCAAATTCTCCACCCTGACTTTCAGGCATGGAGTCCTGGCTTTTTGTTATCCTTGAGATCCTGTTTCTTCAAGAGTCTTTGCCTATAGGGGCTGCGACCCTATCCCACTGCGCTCCAAAGATGATGTCTGTGCGAGCACATCAATCCCCCAATTGAATGAAACTTCCTGAACACGCAGACATGATAAAGTTGACCCAGCCTATGTTCAACCCGAGTTGCCAGTTGGCTTGCCTTTTGAGGGAACCCTTTGTTTTAAAGGGAGATCCAAGAGAAACCAAAGTAGTCCCATTTTCTCACATCCTCAGTTGAGCCAAGAAACACGCCCAGACTTTTGGCTTGCCACCAAACCTCGTCCCGAAAACCAACAAGTACCATCTTTACAACAATCATGCAAATGGACACGGGAATCCCCCCGTCTTCCAAAACTGTCCTGTCAGCTTGCATGACAGGGAGGCTACCTGGGAAATATTGCTTGGCTTTCAGACACACTCCCCCCCCAAAAAAAAAGCGACTCCGACCCGGGAAAAAAACCTCGCCTAGGCGCGTGGACACTTCTGAGCGCAAGTCAAGGCCCACAAGCTGCCTCGTGTCTGGCAAATGAACCGTTTTTGTCCCGTCTCTTTCACCCAACTATACATGACTAGTTTTAGAAAGGTGTTAGTTTCAACTTGTGCTTTCTCAGTTGGTGCGTCTTATTTTTACTTTTGGTTCCCGATCGTAGCTTAAACATGTGGTCTTACCTTGCTGAGTTGACTCTCGATGGTCAGCCGAGTCTAGCATATCAGTGCCACGATCTCCCTCATAATCCGACTCTTGATTTTGGGCTTGAACTTGGATTGGGGGGCCTTTGGGGGACATCAGTGGACATCTTTTACAAGGGGATTTGGATCCACCAGCCATTTTGAGGGGATGTACCTTCCGCAGCTTTTGCCACCCAAGCAGAACCAATAGTTTTGTTTCTGGTCACGCGTGAGGCGTTGGCATGAATCCGTGGGATTTGAACAGTGGATGTTTGACCGCCACGGGCCCTGTAGTTCTTTCGTGCAAAAAAGACTTGTTGCAAATAACAGGGCCCGTGGCGGGCAAACATCCACTGTTCAAATCCCACGGATTCATGCCTGACAAGTGGCCCCCCTGCTTGTTGATGCTCCGGTGTCAATGCCCCTGGCCACGCTCCCTACAGCCATTACTTTCTTACGAACCCTCACAGCGTTTGCTCACATTCTCTGTGCGCATCCCTAGTAATCACAAATCAAAGGCTTTTAGAATCGTTTCCCACATGAGAAGCACCCAGCATCTATGAATCAACTTGTTCTGCCCGACTAAGATGGTGATACATTTGGGATACATTTAGGAACCATCAACCAGTGACTCTACGAATCCCTTGACAAAATGGGGCCAACCAGAGATTTTGACATTTCCCACAGGTTGCGTAAAAGCCTGTTGTGTGTGGCAATATTTTGTTCAACTCCTTATCGTTGTGTGTTTCCTGTACTGTCAACCTCGAAATCGCAACCTTTTCCTTTTTACAGTACAAGCGAAGTACACAAAGTATACTGTGGTAGCTCCAGCTCGATTATCGCAACTGTTGAGATGCAGGAAACGCGTGCAACAAGCAAGTAGCGCTTTCGTTCTTGTTTTTGTTCAGCTAACAAGTTGTCAAGTCGCCTATTTGCTACCCGGTCTCAGCTGACAAGGCTGCTTTCCACGGTGCCTATTCTCGCTGTTTGCAACTCCTTATCGTTTTGCAGCAAAGCGTGGCAGTTTTGGACACAGGTGTCCTCCGAACAAGAAAATGTGGGCCTCCTGTGCCCCAAAACGTCCCCTTTACAGTAGATGACAGTAATCAAATGTGTGCTTGCTTTTTTGAGGGAAGCCTTTCCACCATTTTGGCCCCCCCCTATTTTGACACATACCCAAATATTGGCCAGTGCTCACTAAGCTCCCGAGCATGCTGGGACCATGCGCTTGCCGCAAAAGGTCGGTGGCTCGGCCTGACGCTGTTTCTATCAATCTCTGAGGCTTATGGGGAGCCGCCCTGAAAAAAGCAAACATCTGTTTGGGTAAGCAAAAACATGGGTACCAACTCCAAAAAAAGGCACACATCCCTCGAATGGTGGTTTTCCCTTGGTTTCCTTTGCAAACCACAAAATGAGGAACCGTCAAACATACTGTTGCAATTTCAGGGCTGCTCCAAAGACCGAATCGTCGGGGTACCAAACTGGCACAAAGAACCAATGACCCCTTGTGCTGAATTTCTATCCGCCCAGTTGGGTCATGAGAGTCTGAGGGCTGAAGAGTAACCTGAAGTGAAATAATCAGCGCATTGAATGTGCTTCAAGCTGGTTCCTCACCTCAAGAGCGTGAGCATCGATTCACTCTAAACATGTGATTGGCTAAAAGAGCGGAACTCTTCCACCTTGGCTTGTAACTGTACTTCCGAGCATTGAGCAGAAGGGAACCAACAGCATAAAGTGCAGCAACGAATCCTACTCTGTCCGATCTGTCTTGGTGCAGAAACGACAGCTCAGGACTCTTCGACTCTTGATGCGCCATCCGATCTCCAAGACTACTTTGTCACTTTGGGGACTTCCCTTATCAATTATCACACAAAGTGGCCGCAAAGCGCTCGGCATAATTTCCACAACCGTGCAATTCGTTCAACGCCAGTCGCCGAAGCTAATGCAAGGTAGAGCTGATGCTCCTGCTGATGTGCTCTAGGCTGTAGCCCAACAACGTTGCAGCTTCGGTGCGGTTTAGAAGGACAATGTCTAGCTGGTGGTGTAGGCACATAGGTTTTGGAACCTTCAGTGGCAGCTCTTTTGAATGTGGGTTGCGGGAGATCATCAAATCCAGCTAAGACCCGCTCTACAAGCGTTGGTGCGATAGTGCAAAAACCGAAGAGCAAAATCGAACCACGCTTGTCTGTACTCTCACTTGGCGATCATTTAGCGCCAGCGCTTCAAGATCTAGCCTAGTATATCGTACTCAAAAACAGCGATGACGAAGGCAGAATGATTCACTGGTTGCCATGATTGCCCAAGCAAAAGAGGCCAAGCCAACACACTTCTGTGCAATAAAAGCAGGTTGCAAAATAGTAAGGTTGTACACCGCATTGCTTGACAGAAAACAGTCGTTGCAGTAACTGGCGTCAACCAAATGACGGACGGCTTGCTTTCATGCAGCCTGTCAGCACTTTGACAATGCAATCAACGGTCGGAAGACAACCTCCGCAGGACAACTCGCTTCCTGAGAGGATAGGTCCAAAAACGTCCAAACTGTTTTTTGACCTTGGACTTTCTTTGAACTAAATGGCCTTCCCAAAAAGTTTAAACTCCAGGAACTCAGGAGGTGAGACAACAAGTACATCGCTCCCATCAATCCGCGAAATTGAAGCATGGCCAGCCGGGCATCGGATCTGAGCGCTGGGCGTTTCACACCCTTCACCTTGCTCCTGAAATTGCTGTCGCCTAGCCATGGCTTGACAGAGGCCGGAACCTCATGTTGAAACACACGCGAAGGGGGGGGGGAGGAGATCTCAGAAACGGACCTAACTTGGGCAGAAGCACATTCTAGAAGATATGATTCTGAACAAGCTACGGACCCAGCTGAGTGGATCAATAGCACGTGTTGAAATAAATGGTCTATCCAGGACCATGTAAATAATTGAAAGACGGCCACACCTATTCATTCTGTCCCTAACGTTCATCTATATACCCGAGTTCTGATGGCTCACCTGGCATCTGGCAAAGTTGTGAAGCTCATAGGGCCCCCGACGCTCCAGAGGGATCCTGGGAGCTTCCCTAGCACCTACATCGTCAATATCTGACAAGCTACAAGCAAATACCAAACAAGTGTATGCATACATACATGACATACATACCTACCTACCTACCTACCTACATTACAGACATTACCTACATACTTACATACATACATGCATAAACATAAACAAAATATGAACGGCAGCCCCCTCTTGATTCTTGCTACTCGCCATAGCGCAGATTTGCAAATGCGTGGCTTGTTTTTAGGAATGGGACCTCATGGGTTTCGTTGTTGCGACAAGAGCTTCTTTTTGGAACTTCTACCAAGCATTAGCAACCGCTCCTAGAGCAAGGTGGCTGCGAGCAGCTAAAATCACATGGAAGCACCTTACGGGCGTGTGGTTCTTGAGGCCATCCTCATTGGGGGTGGTTGTTGGCTCAACTTACTTTTTGATGCATATAGGTAGCCTTACGGTAACATGAAACGGAAGGTTTGATCCTTCCAAAAGGGACAGATTTTGTTCGGACGCTGGCAAGAGATGCAGGATGGTGTTGGACAGGCCAACCGTATCTCATGGACCCAGAGGCTCATCGACATGCATTTGGCTCAGGCGCTGGGCCTGACATGAATTGGCAGAACATTTGCTGGACGTGGGACATTCGAACAACGTCTTTTCGAAGAACGGAAACTCAAAGGAAAGCGAAGCCCTTTTAAAGGTGGCCCATTGAAAACGAATCTGGCCTTGGGCTCAATTAGTTCGAAAAGGCATCGTGCGTTGAGGTCCGCAGCCCAAAAAGACCACATTGCCGCTTGAAAAAAAACATAACGTTGATTTATAATTTAGGCATCGACCGGCTGCAAGTGCACATAAGAATGGACTCCATATACCGACACAAGTCTGTCCGATGCGCGGGAAGAACACATTTGTTTCTTGACATGGCTTTAAGTTTTCAGTGGATCCCTTCAATACCCGGTTTTGATTCTGACAAGATCCAAATGGTTTGACGTGATAAGACCCTTGGCCTTGGCTTCTGCCAACATGGGTAAGCGCATATATTTAGAGAGGCCTTACCTTGGTTGCTGTTGATCCCCCTGCAAAAAGTTCAACTTTTCGTGGTTCAATGGAAAAACCCTGAGGGTTCCTCGAGAAGTTAAAGTCTGAGGATCCGTTACCTAATAGCAAGCACGTTGCTACTCCTCTGAAACCAGGTATCCGAACCACCAAAACAAAACTGCGGTTTGGGTGTGACCATTGCGCTCGGATTTTCCGGCCTGAGCCTGCTGAGGTGTGAGATATGCGGCGTTCCGATTCAGCAACGCCTGTGCAGGTGCTGAGATGAGTGGTTCAAGCAGATTGGGGCAAGAGTAGTAGTAGCAGCAGCAGCCGCTAGCAATGGTAGTTGTAGTAGTAGTAGTAGTAGTAGTTGTTGTTGTTGTTGTTGTAGTGGTAGTAGTAGTAGTAGTGGTGGTAGTAGTAGTAGTAGTAGTAGTAGTAGTAGTACGGCCAGCACTTGTGGTTTGCCCGGACACTCTCCTCCAAGGGGCCTCACGCGCTCAGATTCCTTCGCGCCTGCCAGCGTTCTAGCACCCGCGTCTGATATCGAACAGTTTGCCCTTAGAACATCGGCAAGCCTTCGCCGAAGCGCGCACCTGCAGGGGTGTGGGTCACTATGCGGATTTTTTGGGACTACACCTAGGCTCAGCCAGAACTTAAAAGGTGACAAGTGAGGCTCTCCACACCCTAAAGTGGTTTGAGGGTAAGTTAAACCCCAAGACTAAGCCTTTGACGCGTGGTTTGGAAAAAAACCCTAAAGCGATTTGAAGGCAAGAAAACTCTTAAACCTGAACCCTAAAGTGTGGGTGAAACCCCCAAACTGAACCCTAAACGGGTGGTGGGAGCAAGTGAAGCCCGAAACCAGAACCTCAAAGTGAGGGTTTGAGGGCAAGTTCAACCACAAACTAGACGGGGGGGGGGTTTGAGGGCAAGTTAAGCCCTGAACCTGAACCCTAAATGGGGCAAGTTCAGCCAAAGGCTGAAAAAGAGACCAGAAGTGCAACAAAGCGGTTCTGGGCGAACCGCACGTGCTGCGGGTAGAAGTAGTACTAGCAGCAGCAGCAGTTGTAGTAGTAGTAGTAGTAGTAGTAGTAGAAGAAGTAGAAGTAGTAGAAATGTTTTAGTAGTAGTAGTAGTAGCAGTAGTAGCAGTAGTAGCAGTAGTAGAAGTAGTAGTAGTAGTAGTAGTAGTACTAGTGGTAGCAGTAGCAGTATGGCAGCAGGTGGCAGGTCGCAGGTAGCAGGTAGCAGGTGGCAGGTAGCAGGTAATAGGAAGTAGGCGGTAGGTAGTAGGCAGTAGGCCCAAGTTTCCATGTGTTTGGCCACGTGTTTGCCTTTGAAACAATTCACAAGCGTACCCTCGCAGCTTTTCACTTTACCCGTTCCAAAGCCGTTCAAAATGGACCCGGCTTCCCTGTGTAATCCCGCAATGGGCGCTGAGCCATCTCCCAACTTGCCTTGGTTGTTGAAATTCGGGGAGAACCCCTGCTCCAAATCCGCAACCCACCACTACAAAGGAAGCGCAAACCACCATCTGGCATGACATAGGAATGAGTTGGGGCACCAGCTTGAAGAATCTTCCGCCTTGTGTTGATTTTGAACACCAGCTTTTTGATTAACACAAAATCTCCCGCCTTGCCTTCCAAACATCTCCAAATGAGAAACAACCTACGTGTCAGAACGCCCCGCAATCAACTTACGCGGCAGAACGCACCGCAGCCAGGCCTGCGGTCTGAGAGCGAGCCTGGAGGGTGAGGTGTTGGCGTCGCCACGTCACATGCTTAGATCCATTTACCGCAAATCACAAATTTGTTCGCGTCTTGAGTCGGTTTCCGATCGCCAACCGTTGGGAACCCCCCAAGTTAGAGAAAGGGCACCTTGAAAATATCATATATACACATACTCCGGCTTTGTTTTTGTATGTGAGGCACGACTCTGGCCACGCAGGAACGCAGCGGAGTCCTAGCCAATTGCGTGTGGGACAGCAAGCCGGGGCCTCACGCTTCCACAGGTCCAGCTTAAAAGTGGCAACTGTTCAGTACCAGTGTAGTTCTAAAAGCGCGCCTCCACAGCTCAGGCTTGAAAGTTAACACCATTCAGCACAAGTCAGGGCAACGAGGTATGTAACGAGGAAAGGCACAGAAAAGGATTTCTTCCGGCCCCCCACCCTGCTATGTTCCGGTGTCCTTCTTCTGAAGGGCCAGCTCTGCGCCGGTTGATTCATAGGTGTAGCAAGCACCCATGGAAATCACTCAGAGTCTGGGTATGCATAGGGGTATGCAACGAGGGCTATGCAACTAGCCAGGCGATTTTGCCCATGCAAGGTATGTAGCGAAGGCATGTGACGAGCCAGCAGGTCTGGTTCCAAAGGGTATGCAACGGGGTATGTAACGTCCGCCACGGCTCCGCTACATACCCCTCGGAAATAATTACTGCCACACATTAATATCTATCTAGGCCTCTGCCACAGGATAGAATTTAAACCATACATCACCAACGACCTTCGTGGTTGTGAGCTCGCTGTACCCGTTGGGCTTGCTCTATTTTTTGTTTCATCAAATTGTCGTGTTGAGAGGGACTCTTATCACAGCCCAAATATTTTTCGTAAGTTGAGCTACACTGTGCAAATGCTGGACTGGCTTCTGCCTACCCGCCAGCGTACTCAGCTATTAAAAGGTATATGTGCACGTCCCTCATGCGAACCACTTCCCATTGCGAGGTTTCTCGAAAGAGGCGCTGACTGATTCTTATCCCAGGCGAAGAGCTTCCCTCCAAGCCACGCTGTCGGTTGCTTGGACGCAGGTCTCGCAATGTATAGTTTTTCCAACATGGGCTTCGGACCCAAAAGGGCCTCATGGGAACTCCGTTTAAAATCTAGCTGAATTGCAATTAAACAATTCTATTTGGAAAGGATTGGCAGCTTAAATTTCACCTTTAGATATAAATCATACGCGAAGTAGGTCGTTCAACATATTTTTGAACATCTAATCGAAATCCAAGCTTATTTGAAAAGGAACTCCTTTTGTGGGCACAGCTCCCCAGCTTTCAGGGAAAATTCCGTAGGCTTCACGGAGTTGCGGCCTGGAGATACCCCCTGACCTGTTGCTAATTGGAAAGTCTATGACTCGTTGGGAAAAAAAAACACTGTCACATGCAGCCATCCGTAGTTATTATCATTATGTTGTACTTATATATACATATATATATATAAATAAAAAACAAGAAAACACACACAGAGAAAATACCGTAAGGGCAAATCCCGCATGGGCACAGCTGCTTTGTGTTTTGGAAACTCTTGTTTTTTCACAGTTTCGAAACAAACGATTTTGGGCACAACCTCCAAAGAGAGAAAAGGGCATTGCCGTGCTTGCCTATTTCTGACTGTCAATTTGCGTAGCATATTCGTGTCTGTGACTTGTGAGTTCTCAAAAACACCCCCTCCCCCCGATGAGGGGACGCTCTCTCTTTCAATCACCATCCTCTTGAAAGGCCCCTCTACTTGCAGAATGGTTGCAAAGAGCGCACATTTGTTTGGCTTCGAAGGCTCTTTTACTGGGTGCCAAATAGATTGTCTGGGAAAAACATACGCATTGATCTTGGTTATGCACCCAGCTTTCGGCAAGCCGGACATCCGGAAAGGATGATTCCTGACATATCCGATGACCGGCGTGGCTCAAGTGCCAGCTCCAAGGCAGTTGCCATCCATGAAAGCATCGTCGGACATGTCGTGAGGTGGGGCAAACGTTGAAACAAAGTCAGGCCCAAGTTTCCACGTTCAGGTTGAAATAGCCGTCTCAACCCTTAGTGGTTCGTTGATCCCTTGCTGAAAGTTCAAGTTTTAGAGGCATATGTCACGAATCCCAGCTAAACATACACAAATCTAAGAGTATGGCGGGCAACCGCCCAGAACCCCTTTCTCTACACAAACCAATTTCCCCATCGCAGCAGCTAAGCGAGGGGACACGCCTGCTCTTCCAGCCGAGATCTCAAAGATGCAATGTCGCGCATGAGCTCCATGTTTCTCTCCTGGAAGTGGCACACTTTCAACATTCCAGAAGCTAGTCTGGCCAACAGCTAGATGGTCCGTGTATGCCACAAAAATCCACAAGAAGCCAGCTGCTTTTCTGAGGGTGAACCAGCTGCGAACCACAAGCGTACCAGAAACACAACTGTGCATGCATGCGCTTCCTGAAGGCAGTGTGCGACTGTTCTCCAAAAGGGGCTACGCAAATTAGGTGGTTTCCTGTGGCGTCACCTGGAACCCAAGGGTGCGCTTGAAAAACAAGCAAAGCCAAAACACACGCAAACACACACACAACATGTTAGAAACAAAATCAAAAACAAAGACACAAGCAAACAAACACAATGAACTACACAAGCAAGCAAAGCAAACCAACACAATACACACCAAACAAAACAAAGCAACACAAACAAACAAACAAACAAACAAACAAACAAACAAACAAACACACCCACCCACCCACCCACCCACCCACCCACCCACCCACCCACCCACCCACCCACCCACCCACCCACCCACCCACCCACCCACCCACCCACCCACCCACCCACCCACCCACCCACCCACCCACCCACCCACCCACCCACCCACCCACCCACCCACGCACGCACCCACCCACCCACCCACCCACACACACACACACACACCACAGCCAAACACACAACAAACAACACAAAGCACCCACGCACGCATGCACGCAAAGGCGCAAACACGCACACAAGAGCACACACACACACCCTTCGCTTTTGGAGCCATGCTTCTTGCCCAAGAAATGAACCTAGTTGGAGAGAGTGAAGTACTCAAGATTCACCAGGGAACCCAAATCACAGGTACTTGTCTGGAATGAACATGCACCCCAAACCACTTTTTGTTGGTTGCGGCCGGTGGTTCTTTATGTGCGACCTGGTTGCAGCAACCAATCTGACTAAACACATGAATTCTACAACAGGAAACACTCGTGCAGATCAACATGGAACCCAAACGTCACACCGTGTTTAGGATTTCCTTCTGGTGACCCTCTTTTCTGGGTGCCATGTTCGTCTGCAGGAAGAGATCCTCCACCTTCCTGGGTGTTTTTTGTGCGCACGCGCGCCTTCTCCGACTGGAGCTCTGCCTGGCAGTGCCGGGGCAGGTTGGGTTTGGGCGCTCAAATGGCCAGGAGCTCGAGTTTCTCTGTGCAGTCTTAACCCTGGAGGTTCAATTTACAGACTAAGCCAGGGATTACAGATTGAACTCTGAATGGTCTTTTATTTTTGAGGGTTTACTCTCTTGTGAGCAAATTTGCAAACGAAACCGGGATTCCCCCAAAAATGATCGTCC